ARSMAAMSKWAAAMMRGAGTAGTTAGGCTAACCTWTCASAAGGACACAGGGTTGAAGTCCTATTACATATTGTTTATATTAATATGTTTAAATTTTTGACTTTCAGGTTGGAAGGATCGTATTCTGTTTTGATCTCCTACTTTTTACAAAAATGTGRTAAAGTCGACAAAAGATTAAATTGGCCTGTTAAGAAAATCAACTGGATRAGTAATAAGTTATAAAATACCATTTTTGTTATATTTAACAAAACTCCTATCGACACACTCTTGATGTCRTAAAATGTTTAAAACTMAAGTTAACTGCAAAGTTTTGAACATTTTATTACATGTCAAGAGTGTGTCAATAAGAGGACATACACGAAAAACTGTGTGCAATTTGTTTTTTTACCACATTTTTAGTCTAAAATTTAGCAAAACTCATTCTTTTCTTTTGCGCGACGTGGTGTCAGCACAGCGTGCATGTCCCCTTATTGACACACTCTAATTAGCCAGTAAGTGTGTGAGGATTTACACAAGCTAGTGTGGTAAAAATATTAATACAATCACTGTCAGTAGTAGTTGCATTGATGTTCAACCACCGTATAGGTACACAATCTAGAAAACCCTTGTTATGATGTGAATTATAAATAGTGTACAAATTTCTTCTTTTTTCTAGAACAACTTGATGATAATTCCAGCCAAATGGTTTGTCTAACCGGTCAAAATGGCCAACAACTACAAGTAGACTATGTTGTAATAACTGTCCCATTGACCATACTTAAAGCTAAAGATATCCTCTTCACACCTCCATTACCCATCAATAAACAACATGCCATCAACTCAATCTACATGGGACCAGCATTAAAGATAGTCTGTCGATTTAAGAAGCCTTTTTGGGGTGAAACTCTGGCCATCTCTTGTCCAGGGTGTTTTATTCATCAGGTGTGGACTTATTCCCGTGATCCAAAACCAGACGGCGAGGAGTGTCATGTTGTTGTGGGATTCGAGACTGCAGTGGCAGCGTCACAGAAAGTTCACCTTTCTGATGAAATTGTTTGTGAACGATTTGTCCAGCAGTTGGATGATATATATGGGTATGTCTGTCAAATCAACTATAATTATGTTGAAAATGTTGAATAGTGAATATCATGATATCCACAGCATGCTATACATTGTTGCTATACTTCATGCTACAATCTTTGCCAAAATACCTCGGACACAATGTTAATATTAAAATACAGTATCATCTGCGAACCATTCCATTGCCCCTCCATAGTCAAATAGCTGTTTCTTTACAATAGCAAATCATTAGCTCAATGTTTATACTAAAATGAAAAATTCCTTTCTTTGAAGGACAGAGACGGAGCCCAAGCCAGCGACAGCAAACCTAATGAGCTTCGTGTACTACCATTGGTCAAAACATCCATATGTAAGAGGAGGGTATAGTAGTCCCACTGTAAATACCCATGGAATGCGACAACAYCTTGCTGAATCAGTTGACGGCAAATTGTTCTTTGCTGGTGAAGCTACTGGTATAAATGAGTTTGCTAATGTTCAAGCTGCTCTTCAAACTGGGCTGAGAGCAGCCAAAGAAGTATGCAAAGCTAGTGGCATTGGTGATTTAAACCCAATTCCATGAAAATTGTAAAGTATGAGGTAAATAGGTGTATTGAAGGGATGAAAGGGAAAATAGAAAGAACCAGAGAAAAAGAGAAGTTTTTATGCTAGCAGCAGATTACTCTCGTCGTTATTAAATTATATTTATATGTTTGGTTTGGTTTTTGAATTATAATCTATAAAAATGATAAATGTAGATATTATATAATTCAKGATAGTCATACGATTGTAACTAAAATTCAAATTTTTATGGATTTTAATGAAATGACAGAAATGTAAAGAAAGAAAGAAATGACAGACCAGCCACATTATCTTTCAATTACATTTTTCAAACAAATAAAGTACAAATAAAAAACCTTTGATGATGACTTTGTAGTCGAAAATGTTTAATTTTTATTTTTATTTTAAATAATTTATAGCCTTAACTATATTGTATCAAAAAGCTTTGTTTACAAATAATTTATAATTCTAGTATTGCTAAGTGTAAAAAAAATTATTTTCTGCTGGAAATTTGACTTGAATGTGATTTGATTGTCTTTAGTATTAAGCCAATATTGCAATTTGTCCATCAAAGCTACAGGTTGCTACAGTTGAAGGTAAAGAAGGGTGGAAACTTGTGTCCATACAGACCGATGTGTGAACAGGTATACTCATGATATTACGTGAGGTCTGGCTGTTGTAAATGTATATTTTACCATCAGAAGAGCCTGAYGTCACTAGGGTACCATCAGGACTAAAACCAAATCTTATCACATAAGCTGAAACCTGTGGAAAAAACAATCATTGTTTTTTTTTAAGTAATGGCCCGAGTAAGAGCTATAGAAGCAAATGGCAAAGGAATGCAAGAAGGTGCTAATTGTGTATTGTATAATCCATCCATCCCATTGGTTCAAACAAGAAAATCTGCTATAATTTTACAAGTTAGCGCATTTTCTAATATTTCATTTAATATCTGATTCCGACTTCATGAAAGCTTTCTTTAGCTACAATATTAAGGCAATTCTATGTGGGGAACATAGCAAATTAGAAGCTTCTTTTGGCTATTGTTTTGAGTGCTTATGATTGGAYAAGAKSTTTTAATACAAAAGAAACTTTGTTTCAAAACAGAGTTTATCCACATTTTATTTCAAAAATGGGTTACCCATAAGTTGATATATAATCACTGTGAAAACCAAGACATTTGTATTTGGGGAAGTTGCAATGCCGCAGAACAATAGAGAGTTCTACAGTTCTTAATATGCGCATTGTTACTTAAATATTGAAAAAAGGCTGTTTTTTTTTTGTTTTTTTTTTGTGGGAATATTATCTTCACTGACCTGATGGCTTTCATATCGTTTGTATTTGTTCAGTTTGTAAGGCCTTTTGGTTGAGAACAATGCAATGTAATCAGCATTAGACTGGGCGCCAAAGAATGTCCCACTAGGGTGCACTTTTAGACAGGTACATGTGAACGCCTCCTATGGAAGCAAACAAAAATAAACAAACATAACAAAAAATAAACACAAATAAACAAACATAACAAAAAATAAACACAAATAAACAAACATAACAAAAAATAAACACAAATAAACAAACATAACAAAAAATGGGAGCTGAAATCTATGGAGACTTTTGGAAAAATATCCTTTGTAGCAGGCCTTCATCATACATCCAATGTACCTGGTAAACTTGATTTGACATTATTGCAGTGGACCTAAAATCCCAAACCATGATGCCTTTATCTGTAGAGTTTCTTCTAAGTACCTCAGCTGCGGAAATGAACTCTTCACAACCTGGGAGGAAAGCAATGTCTTGTACTTGGCCAAATGGGGCTTGGAATATTGAAACTACCTGGGAGAGAAAAAGTTTTTTTAAGGCAGTGCAACATTGGGATATTTTATAGACTGTACTTTGAGTACATTTTTGTTTGTTTGTTTGATTGTTTTAATGTAGTGTTTTTGAACTGCTTTTGCTTTTCATGTATAAAGTAAATGGGTACAAGTCCCTCGCAGTATCCTCATCTTAAGGTTAATTCTACACACTAGCCAGCAAATACAACTGCTTTTTGTAACCCATTAAAATCATATGAGTGATACAAGGTGGTTACATTTGTAGGCTCTCAGCTTCTTCTACCTTTTGCTGTCTTGAGTCCCAACAGTAAATCCCATTTCTTGACGTCCCAGATAGAAATAGATTTGATTCATTGGGATGAAACTGAACACATGTCACAAATTGTTTATGTGCAAAGTTTTGGATTAGTTCGCCTAAAACGACAACCACAGTCACTGATTAGTACAGTTCACTATCTAAAAGAGAAGGAGCTATATTGATGTATGTATAACTCTTTATGACAAGTATCTGAGTATCTACCTGTTTCTACATCAACAAGCTTGGCACATTTATCAAAGCCACAGCTGAGCACCTTAGTCCCACAGGTGGTCCATTTCACATCCTTAACAGCAGCCTCATGTAAAGTGAGCCTATTYAAACATAACCCTCTTCTATCAGTATCCCATATGCCAACAGTGTGATCCATGGATGCTGAAGCAAGTAGGTTCTGTTTTGAAGGATTCCACCGCACACAATTTACACACTTTGAATGTCCATTGAAATTATAAAGAATTCGTTTTGGGGGTTTGTTTACAACYGACATATCACTCTTAAAATCTGTGGCAAAGTTATCAACATTATTAACACRTGAAAGTGCAGTAGTCTCTACATATTTGCTTTCTGTTTGACRAAGTTTCTCCCTTTCTCGTTTGGAAACATATGGTCTAACTTTAAAACTAGTCTTTCTGGAGTCAGTAACACTTTTGTGTTTTATTGGGCCTGTTTGTGGTCTACTCAAAATGGTTTCTTTACAAAGTGAAGAGCTATTTTCATGATCAAGAGGAATTTGAGGTCCAATTTCCTTAACAGCAAGATTCGTTGCTGAAATTATAGTGTCCTTCTTAAATTTGTTCTTTAAGTTACTTGGTATCCAGTTCTGGTGGTCATTGTAGGGTAATAGCGAGGACGAAAACTGACTATAGCCATAATTAAGATGGCTTTGACTACCAACGGATTTTAAAGTATTTTTCCCATCTTGACATTCTGTTTTCCCATTTTGATCTGATATTTTTACCAGATTATCGCGTGTTTCAGCTAAAGTAACGTCTTCATCGCTTGAATCACAGCTTCCGTAGACCATTAATGCATCCATTGGACAATGAAAGGCTTATTCACAGGCAAAATTTCGAAGTTTTCCTATAGCAACAATTCACAGCCTGTCCGCCATCTTTGATTGTTTGGGTCTCCCTAAACTTCCCGTCCAAAACTGAACACAGGGAATCCAATTATTCATGCTAAGACATCGGACGTCCCCTGCAGGTATAAGCTAGGAAAATGTAAAATACCGTGGCAGATTTTACTTGTATTGCTCAGAAATAAGAATTGGAAATGCCAATGAGACTGTCACTGCTTGGACAACCCTTTAGATGCCTTATAGATAAGATTCTCATCGATAGTATGGATTTCTGGTTGCTTCTGTATTAGATACCGGAGTACAGATGACAAAACAAAGAAATTCTAAACAATACCCCGAAATAGAGTGCAAGTCACATAAGCATGAAACAATTYTCAACTATGTAGTGCTAAATAAGATTTAGTTATCAACTAACTAAGAATTGAGAACAATGCTACAAAGGAATTTGAATAATTGGCATTGTGTTTATGCTTTGTTGAATTCTTAGTTAGTTGATAACTAAATCTTATTTAGCAATACATATTAAGAATTGTCTCATGCTTATGTGACGTGCACTCTACAATGAAACCTAACCAGAATACAATAGATTCCGGTACACATAGAAACCGAATTTCTTTAGCAGATTTGACTGACATGATTTGTAAATTGCAGGACTAGATAAAATCYTAAAACATGCCAAAAAAAGTTGCAGTTGTTGGTGGAGGGATATCTGGCCTTGCTGCGGCTGCATCACTAGTTGACCAAGGCTTTGACGTTCATTTGCTAGAGGCTTCAGATTACTTTGGTAATTTTTGGAAACACTTCATTTGATGTTTAGGGACCTATTATTAATTATTATTACCTGTATTATTTTCAGGGATGGGGGGCTGGTGGAAATGAGGGGGGTATCAAAAATTTGTGTGTGCATAAAAGGGGGACCAAATAAGATTCTGCAAATATCAATACCGGCAAACTTGACTTTTTATCTTTTTATTAGGAGACTGCAGAAGGCTCAGATAATGTTAGGTCCCTTCAGGGCCAATTTAGACGACACAACTTTTCCCAACAACTATCGCATGCGACCTGCGTAAGTCATCCTTACGACATGGCTACAACTGTCGTGGGGATTTTAAAACAATTGCTTAATAGCCTCACGAAAGTTGTAGCCATGTTGTAAGGATGACTTACCCAGGTTGCATGCGATGGTTGTAAGCAGAAGTTGTGTCGTCTAAATCGGCCTTAAAACAGTTAAAACAGCTTTCAAAATGATGTCATTTTCTTATTATTTTCATTAGGAGGAAGACTCAAACAAGTGGAGGTATTTCCAGGATTTCCACCAATTGATCTTGGAGGGGATTTTATTCATGGTTCAACCAATGTCACACATCAGCTTGCAGAGGAAAATGGATGGAAAGTAAAAAAGGTATTTCACTGTGTGTTTTAAAAATGTGTAAATGTGATTTGTTGCATTATAAATAATTTGATGCACAAACGTTTTCTATAAATGTGTATGACATTTTTTTTCATTTCTCTCATTTCAATTCTGGTCAATATCTGGTCAAAGTCTTCCTGGTCATTACCCTTAGTTTGTATAATGATCTCTCTGAAATTAAGTGCAGTTTCCATGACATTATTACATTTTCTTATGCGTGACGTTAATTTGACAGGCATATGACTGTCCAGGAGAGCCACCAATGGCTTCMTGCATCTACATTGATGGAAAATTGTATGGACTCAATGAAAAAGACCATCCTGACGTGCTTTCCGCAAAAAAAGCATTTGGTGACATCTTTTTACTGATGAAGGAGTATTTATCTAACACAAAAGGAAATGACAGCAACAAGGAAGTTACTGGTCAAGTGATGAGGTATGACGCTTTTATAATCGTTATCGTTTAATTGTAATGATATAAATAAATGATTATTTAAGGTTAAAAATCCCGGGGGGGACTCCCTAATATCAAAGGGCGGGGGTCCTTGGCGGAGATTGTGAAAATGACCCCTAAAAGGGACCTCTATTGTGAGATGAATGGCGTGGCAGTGCTGAAATTTCAACCCTAAAAGGGACCAATCATAACAGGTTATTTTGTTTTGGTTTACCGATTTTATTTGTGTTTTTTCGGACACCGTCGGCTCGTATTAAGTTTATGACGATGTTGCCATTTTATGACTGCTTAGGGTYGCCGTATACCCTAAAAGGGACCACAAAACACAGTTGGTAGGAATTCTTGTCATGATCACCCTAAGCGGGACCAAAATACTGATTTCAAACCCTAAAAGAGACGCCGAGGACCCCTGCCCTTTGATATTAGGGAGTCCCTCCCGGGTTAAAAATGCATAATAATATGGTCTCAATGCTTTTTACATTGACAAAAAACAAATAAAAACATTAATAATCGTCATGATGATTTCTAAAATATTTAGGATACTACGCGCGCTGTGATTGGTCGAAAACCATGTTTGATTACAGTATCAAAACACGCTCGCGCGCGTCAAAAATTTCTTTTATTCTTTTAATTTTAGAAAAGAAATAAAAGACGRAATTCCGTGTTTGATACTCTGATCAAAACACTTGGGATGTAGGGAGAGCACTCGAAAAGCTGGAAACCACTCCGCTACGCGTCGTGGTTTCCTACGCTTCTCTCGTGCTCTGCCTACATCCCGCGTGTTTTGATCAGAGTATCAAACACGGAATTTCGTCTTTTATTCCTTAAATAAACAGTTATAATTATACTTACTAATGGAATTTAATGCAATCATATAAAAATAAAAAAAAGCTATGAATAAAAGTAAAGTAAAAAATATATTTTGCCATTATAGGGACCAAGATCAAATCTCTGGAATCAGTTTACATACTTGGCTTCAGCAGAAAGGATTTAATCARAAAACAATTGAAATAGTAAATTCTCATTACTGTCAATGCCATGGAGGAACACTTGATTCTATGGGTCTCTTAGAAACAGGGCTTGATGATGTCCTATGGGATAGTGGCAATGGTAACTACAGGTACTGTATGCTTGTTTGAAAGACTGGAAGGATAATCATATTTTGATATCCAATCTAAATTCCATGCCTTTCCACCTTATGAAGGAAAAAGATCCTGAGATTGAGTTTGCTCAGTAGTGAACTTGTATGTAGGGTTGATAACAATGCCCTCCAGAAGACCTCCAGAAACAGTTACTATCCGACGTGTCAGCCCCTAAGAAAATAGGAGAGTTAAAAAAGAGCTTGCTGTCGATGCACAGCAAGCAAGGAAAACTATGATGAAGAAGACAGACTTCAAGCAATTACTGGATGCACKTTTCCAGCAATAGAACCCTGCAATGTCTCCTGACACTGCAGAGGAAACATAATGACGATGATTGTAAACTTTTCACCAGTCTCCTTTGTAGACATTTTTTTCCTTTCAAAAAAAAAAATCCGGGCTTCCTGTGTTAGATCARTAAGAGAGTGGGGCATTCAGTAACGAGGCGCAGAAAAAGTGAAAGGCAAGTTTCTTTTCCCACTCTATGTTCCCTTTCTTCCCTATTTTTTCCACAGTTTACCCAACATGTCTTCACTTTCAGGTTGGAAGGATCATATTCCGTTTTGATCTCCTACTTTTTACAAAAATGTGATAAAGTCGACAAAAGATTAAATTGKCCTGTTGAGAAAATCAACTGGAGGAGTAAGTTATAATACCGTGTTGATATATAATTTTGAAGTAATTGTTKATGTACAAGCAAGTAAACCCTTGCATGATGTGAAATATGAATTCATGATATTCTATCTATTCCATTCAATTTAGTTCTATTCTAGAATTTCTTATATAAGTTATAGCATATCAATTTCTTCCTTTTTCTAGAAAAACTGGATGATAATTCCAGCCAAATGGTTTGTCTTACCTGTCAAAATGGSCAACAACTACAAGTAGACTATGTTGTAATAACTGTCCCATTGACCATACTTAAAGCTAAAGATATCCTCTTCACACCTCCATTACCCATCAATAAACAACATGCCATCAACTCAATCTACATGGGACCAGCATTAAAGATAGTCTGTCGGTTTAAGAAGCCTTTTTGGGGTGAAACTCTGGTCATTTATTGTCCAGGGTGTTTTATTCATCATGTCTGGACTTATTCCCGTGATCCAAAACCAGACGGCGAGGAATGTCATGTTGCTGTGGGATTCGAAACCGCAGTGGCAGCTGCACAGAAAGTTCACCTCTCTGATGAAATTGTTTGTGAACAATTTGTCCAGCAGTTGGATGATATATATGGGTATGTCTGTCAAATCAACTATCATTATGTAACTAATATATAACTATTTCAAAAAATGTTGAATACTGAATAGCGTGATATCCACAACAATGCAATATTGCTGTTATATTCTCGTGCCACAGTTACCTACGACACACCGTTGTCCCTCAAAGTCAAATAGCAGATAAATTCATTAGCTCAATGTTTATACTAAATTGAAAAATTCCTTTCTTTGAAGGACAAAGACAGAGCCCAAGCCAGCGACAGCAAACCTAATGAGCTTCGTGTACTACCATTGGTCAAAACATCCATATGTAAGAGGAGGGTATAGTAGTCCCACTGTAAATACCCATGGAATGCGTAAACATCTTGCTGATCCAGTTGACGGCAAATTGTTCTTTGCTGGTGAAGCTACTGAAGAATGTGGGTTTGCTACTGTSCAAGCTGCTCTTCGAACTGGTCTGAGAGCAGCCAAAGAAGTATGCAAAGCTAGTGGCATTGGTGATATAAACCATAAATTATAAATAATTATATATATATATTTAAAAGTAGGATGATTTTAGATTTTACCAAATTCAATATTTTAATGAAAAATGGGTGTATTGAAGGGATGAAAGGGAAAAGAAGAACCAGCATAGTGAAACACTGAACTCTTTCTTGTTATTAAACACTTACTAAAGCAACCATCAAAAAATCTCCAATTTTACTTTTTATAATTTTTAGATGTAATAAAAATTTTAGTATATGTATCTTTTATATAACTATTTACAATTTYTTTTTGTATGGCATTGATAAAGCGCTTGTAGTGAGGTTTGTGGTAAACTCCTGCCTATKGTCATGACATCTAAAGTGTATCCCGCCTTCGTCGTCCCTTTGTTTTCCTTGGTGCTGGAAGACTAAACGTGTAATTGCCATCGCTAAAGTTGGCCGGGTTCTTGTTGCCAAACCACGTATTTTGATCYCTCTTGAGTGCTTGTAATTCTAGGTAAAGTTTGAACACATCGCATTGTGACATACTTTTCTTGAGAAGAGATCTCGCTCTACCATTCTTGTTGAAGATTAGGCCTTTGTAAGCCTGGAGGTGGATAGTCCGCGGTCGAAGAACAGTAAAGTGGCGACAAGCATCTTTGAGCTTATGAAATTTCTGCGAAAGTCAAGGCATTAGTTGTTGTAGGTGGACGATCTGTCACTCACTCACTTGCTCGCTCACTGTCCTGTAAACTTTCCATTTCAACAGTTTATTTTTTTGCTTGSAATTGGTGTTCAAATTGTTGTTATAAGCGAGAGAGAGAAGCTTCATTACCTTCCTTAAGTCCTGCTTAGTTGTTTTGTTTTTGCGCGCGACTCTTAGATGCAGTAATTCAGTTTCRACGATCCTCAGAAGKCCAACCACTGACATGAAATCTTCAAGCTTTGTTGGCTCGTGTGCTGAAAGAAAAGCATTGTTCAGGAGTAGTCTCTCTTGCAGCCTCCTTTAGGAAGAAGAGGAAGCCCAACAAAGGGKTGGGCTGTGAAGGAGTCTATGTTCAGGGGTRGATCCACGATTTTTCTCCAGGGAGGGATGCAGTTCACCGGGGKATGCACTCCACAAACATTGTCACAATGGAGAAACAAATAAGGCTAAAATGMCGTTAAAAGGTAGAAGTTCCCAGGAGTGTTGYGCACCTRCACCAACCAGCTTGATWTATTTATCCGYCACAGATTGTTMATTAATTTAAACATAATGATGATTKTAGTATCACAAACCATGGCTTACCAATGGCATCCTGTAGAAAGGTCTCTGCTTTGTCCCAATCTTCAATTCGTGCGTACCTGGAGAATTAACATTTTGTGAGATAGTAAAGGTTACCCGAGCTATTACGTAAGGCTGGCGTGTTTTAAAAAAATCTAAGTCTGTTTGAAATTCTTAAGACTTTGACCTTCTGATTAAAAATTCAATTTCTTGTGTAGCCTTGTCGAACAAGAATTTTTTCMAATGAAATAAACCTGTTTCCACAGAACGCCTTGACTTCTCAACTAAACTCCCGACCGATTACTTTCCTTTAGCGCATCTGCCACCCACGCATTGATTCACATTAGAAATTGAACAGTATATATACGAATACGGTATTTACCATGAAGCCAAGCAAGCACTTAGATAAAACTTGGGTACAATCTCAGCACAGAATGTTGCATCTGCTGTTGCTTGAACCAAAAAATTCTCAATTACGCTTACACTTTCAACTTGTTGACCTAGAAAGAGTTATATCAAGTCAGAAGGGGGGGGGGGTGTATTTTTAAGTGATGAGATGTTTTTCCTTGCCTGCATCGAGCAGTAAATCAAAGCATCCACACATATAGAGAGCTTTGCCATGTGCGTCTTCTTCTTCGATGGAGATGTAATTCAAGTTTTTGAGAAGCTCGAAACTTTTTTCAATCCTACGATACAGAGATATGTTTATATGTTATCCTAACAACTATAAACTAGTTAAAAGTGAATCGAGTTATTTTCTCTGGATCGTGAAAGGAAAAAGACTGTACAGCCTGTACTAGAAGATAATTAAAAAGTAAAAAGAGGACATGTCATTTAATAGTTTGGTGGAGATAATGTAACACAATGGTGGAGAACACAATGGTGGAGAACACAATGGTGGAGAACCCGCGCTTCGACACTCGATCCACCAAATTGGAATTTATCTGATGGCTGTCTATTTTTGATCAGGGAGCATCATACATACATGATTTGCGATCATCGCATCATAGAAGTCCCTGAAGATCGTATCCTTATATATTATCATATAACGTTATTGTATCTAGTGGACGATTTCTGAGACGCGCGGGCACTTTCAAAAACTATAGCAGGCGCGCGCTTGAAAATGCATATCCTTGCCGGTAAATACCTCATYTCACGTGGTCTCGCCTACGATATTTGTAAAATAGCCTGCACATCTCAGAAATCCATAATTACAATAATTGGATTTTGATAAATGAAAACTATCATAATTCTTACTTTCCATTTAGAAGCAGCGCTTGAATGTAAAGTGGAAGACATTCAATCTTCATGTGAGAGTCGTTCAGTTTGTTGGATATAAGCATTGCCGTGTTACCTAAACAAGCAGCAAAACCTTCATTATAAATCCGAAGTCATATCAGTAGGGATAAAACACATGTTGGACGGCCCATTAAAGCTTGGACGTGTGGCAATTAGGCTGGAAGCTGTAACGGGTTATTYTCCAGTTCTCTTACAAAGCGATGRTTTTGATTGGCACCAAGTTTCAAAAATCATATAGTTATAAAGGTWATCTTACCTGATTGAAGTGCCTGTTTGATATTCGCTGTGGCCAATCTGAACGAAAGACTTACACAGTAGAGATGAAAAACCGTGACAAGGTCGTCTGGGTTTGAATAGAGACTGGGATTTTCAGATCTAAAATAAGAAAATCAGTTGTAACTTTAATATTGAGAACAAAAAAGGTACGGGCATATATCTGTCATGTCAGGATGGTAAGCAAGCCCACTTTCCACGTTTACAGTGCAAGTTTTGTGTAGCGACAAATGGAACTGTAACAGTCCTAAAACCATAACCGTAAATAATCTTTACCTTTGTAAGCCAATGGTCTCGTAACGATCGGCCCAGCTGGTCCAACCAACCAAATGACAACACTCAATGACTCCGCCGTACGCTACAAGTAGCTGTAATGTTGAAACAGTACAAGCTTAGCTTTTTGTGTAATGTTTTGAAAAGCAGAATGCATTGCACTACTGGCGTCAACAACGATTTAAGTATTCGCCGACTTCCTTCTTAACTAACCCATTCAAATAGAGAATTGGATCTTGCTACAAGTAGCGTATACCTCGTGTAAATTTTCATCAGCTTCTTCGGCTGCATTCAGCTCCTGTAAGGCAGCCATYAGTGATTTGTCATTCTCATGAAGGGCGTGGTAGACATGCGACAAATGCCCCAAGCAACGAGCTTGTTCGGTAAGCATTGTAGAATTGTCCCTATTCCAAGTAGAAAATTTATAAGTTTATTGATGGTGTGTCTGGATTCTATACAACTTGTGAGAATCACGACTTTCCATACACTCAGGTCCAGCGACCACGAACAAAGCATTGAAGCGAGGCGTCAAGGTGCACTACGCACAGATCTTCTTTTATGCTTCTTTTATGCTCATTGTATCTTGACGCCTCGGTTCGATGCTTTTTTCGTGGTAACTGGACCTGAGTATGGCAAGTCGTGAATAGATGATCACGATGAAAACGCCGGAAAAATTATTTTTACTGAATTCGTCAGAGATGGTAGGATGTAAGGGCACTGTACAGAGTATTGTTAATTCAGGTTTAGCTCGACAGTGCAGCGGTACGTACTTGTGTGTTTTATGGATCTTACTTATTTACCTACCCCGCGCTTTCCATGTAGTATCCAGGAAAGAAAACATGYAAGTAGTGTCTTAACGACTCTTTTCTTATACGAAAAATGACACCAATCCTTGTGTTCGGTTGTTCTTTGTTAAGCAGCTTCAAGGAAACGTTGAAGTGAAGGAGTGATTCATCTAGTCGGTTCATGTGAAAAAGAGCCTAAAAAGTGAATTTAATATTATTTTGACTAAAAAGATTGCAATTGCATGTACATGTTACAGTACATTTGAATTTTTAAGTAACAGTAAAGACCTTTAATTATTAACTAATGAAGTAAGCGCAGTGAGTGAAAGTCAGCGTACATCAGCGCGAACTGGAGACCACCGTGTGGTAGCGATGATGATGAAATCTTCCGTCTGCTTTCTTCACTGTCTTGTTTAAGTTAAAATGGCCATTACAGAAACACAGGCATACCTGTCCAATCAAATTCTCTACTCTTGCCTTTTCCTCTAACGTAGCAATGCTTTCGCCATCGCCAATTTCTTCTTCAAACATGCCTCTGACGTCATACAAATATGACAAGGCTTGCATRTTGGCAGAYGAAGTCAGTGCTGCGGCACCAGACTCGGTCAAATATCGGAACGTCTTTATCTTGTTTCCGGCTGCTCGCCAGTGTTCCACMAGTTGCGGAAATATCGATGCGAGGACCTCGGCGCATCGGCATTTYTTAATGTCCATGGCCTCATCTTCATCATCAATACCGAACCATTCGTCTCCAAGTAATTTCGTGATTTCGTCATCTTTTGCAGTAACGATATGTAAATAGAGTTAAAAAAAAGAATGATAAAGTTACAGAATGGACATTTATAGTATTTATTCAGTGCAGGTTCCATTAAATCAAGAAATCATTTGCTATCTGAAAAAAATGGAACAAATCTAACGTTTTTCTCCTAGACAAGTTCGTTATAATGCAATCGTCATATTTGTCTATATCTGGTTGTCATGGAACAAMATTGATGCAATTTACTCATTATGACGTCACATCAAAACATTCATTGTTTGAACGCTAAGAATTATGGTCGCCAGAGGAGGTCGAAGTGACTGCATATCAAATAAAATGTACATGAGTAATCTTTGATAAATGACATATCACAACATGATACATTAAAGTTATACTCTTGGAGAGAATATAAATGGGTAAAAATTTCCATTATTGTTTTTGAGCATCTCTACTCGATGTAAACACACTGTGACGTCATAGTGAAATAGGACAAGACTTCTGGAAGTCATGGATACGGTTTCAATTTGGAAAGAGTATTCAGAATTATTTTCTAAGATGGAGAATTGTGCTCACCATCTGAAGCAAAGTCGTCGTTTGGTTTGACTTTTCCCTTCGTGGCTAATCGTGTCAGCAAACTCTGTTGCGATCCTCGCCCTCCAAAGAGTTTACTATCATTTGAACGAATAGAGGAGCTTCGATCTTTCCTTTTCAAATTCTCTGCAAATTTTCTCTCGAGATCTGGTGGAATTCCAGCTTGACTTGCACGAGAAATGACATCTCGTTCGTGGGCACGAGACGAAAATGCTCCGTGAGTTTGGACTGTCTTTCTCATTTCCTCTGCTTTTCTTCGCTTCGCTGAAGTCGAGTGTGCTATGGTTGCGCGCCGACTTTTTTCTGAAAGACACAAGAGTAAGACAAGTTTAGTTTTGTACCTGAAAATGGATAATGCCTATAGCCATAACATTGCCATGAGCATAGTGATACTGATACATGGTAATGCGAGTGATTCTTAGAAGAAAGGTTGCAAGTTTATCCATGTGGCATGGAAGACTATAAGAATAGTGGTAATAGTGAATGCTCATAATTGGCGCGCAATGATAATAAGACTGTATGACAATCATGCATCTAACAATGACATGTTGTTAACATAGTGGCACAAAGTGATAGTGGCTTTGGCAGTGGTGGTAGCGACAAGTATGAGCATCCTGCAAGCTATCAAGCAAGACTAACSACTCAATAAGACTCTAGCTTGGCCATTCACTCATTAAATCTCTCGCGCACTTTAAACCATGGCTTAAAATCAAATACGATTTATTTGAACTTACTTCCTTTGTCTTCAACAGGAGCCTGGTCAAYGAGTGAGCTCATTCCTGGTACAAATCCACCACCACCACAAGCCCGGCACTTGTGGGCCTGAGACTCAAGAAACATAGCTGCCTTTTCGTGSAGMCCTTTCCTCTGRTCCTCTAGCCAAACATCATAAGTCGTTTCTTGGACGTAAATATTTGAAAACTTATAAAACAAACAATGCTTTATTGGTCCATTTGGAGTCATCATACTTGTAAGGTTGAGAACCTAAAAATAAGAAAGACAGATTTGCAACGAACTTTCACAAAACDAGACAATTCAAGTTTCAAAAGATTTCAAATATTGGGGAAGAGCCATGGACAACCGCCGCACACCACAATCACATAATATAATCACACAGGAAAAACTATTGTGTCTTACCATATTCCCTTCATCAGCATAACAGCCACATAACACAGGTGCATGAAGAGATGTCGCGACATTGTGATGATGGTGATGATGATGGTGATGTGTATGATGATGCGCATGCGCGGGATCGTTGTAGTCATAGAARCCATGATGGTTATGCGCAAGCTGGTGCTGTGCTGCCAAGCTCGCGCACTCTAGAATGCCATCTCTAACAAGCGTATAAAGTATGACGTCCAGGGATTTTTTGCAGGTTACAGGGACGAGGGCTTCAACAAGATCTCGCGAGAACTGCATCCCWAGAATTGACGCGCACTTCAGAGTAACTTGTTCTGTTGGTGACATTCGATCCACTCTTGCAAGAACCATGTCCTTGACAGACTCTGGAATTAGTATGTTTGARAATTGAACTCCTGGTGAAACGACGCATACATTGTAAGTGTTCTTAGGCATTGCACTCAAAGAAGCTGGTACAAACTCATTTCGATTGAATTTAGGGGGCTCTTTGCGTTGTGGCTTTTCAAACTTCAATGTACTTTCTTTGCGGTCTTTAGCTAAGCTACTTCTTCTACTGCTATCATGTTTAGGTGCTTCTACAGCCGCAAAAGTAGTGCTTCGTGCAGATGATTCCAACTGATTTTGWGCTTTTTCCTGATTGTTGATTAGTAGCTTTGTAAAAAGACTTCCTTTTCTTGAATCGGTAAGTTGTGTACCAGACAAGGAAACTTCGTGGCTTTCCTCCTCCGTTAAATTTGGTAGCGCTGGTGTTTTGGATCTTAGAAAAGGAGATTCTGGTCGAGCGTGTTTCACCTCATCTGAAATAATTTGAGATGATAGTTCGTAGTACTTGTCGCGGAGTCCATCTAATGGTCCAAACAAGAGAGAATCAGCTACACACTCGTCTCGAAAAGCTTCCGATTCGGAGACAATTGCAATGATTTTACTGAGTAATACTTCTTTGATTAGTTGCTCGCACCATGACGGGACGCCGTGGCTCTTTTCTCGTAGAATGGTATCAAGTTCTTTGGGAATGTACATGACATCCATAAACTGACAGGCAAGGCTGCTCATTAGCTCTGGATTAAGACCAGCTGAAAGAAAGGAAATTTAACATAAAGCTAGGTCTAATTTAAGTTATTATTGAAATGCTCGTGTTTTATACTCACTCAGCTTGAATTTCTTTGATTTAGGATTGTTTATCATTCGTACAGCTGACTTGCAGGGAGGACTTGCAGCYGAGAAAGGACGAAGCGCCAGCACTAGCACAGCATGGGAATCCTTCTGCAAATCTTCCAGGAAGTCCCACGATTCGCGATCAATAAATTGTGCGTTATCTACAGCAAACAAGCATGGCTGATCGACAGCAACCTACGAGARAATACAAGAAAATAAGGTATAAACTTCATCTTTGGAAAGAATTTTGAGGCTAGGCGTTATATCTATCTTTGGAAGGCTTMTTTTCTGTTACAYACAATAGAAAAATAGTGAAAAAACTATTTCTAGTTATATATCGTTTTTACCTGATGGACGATGCCAAAAAGAAGTTGGTGGAAGTGTTCCGTCACTTGGCTGGAATCCATGTGAACGAATTTCGGATTTTGAGGCACCTGTAACCATTAAAGATAGTTGAGTAACATTATCAATTTCATTTTCTTCTTTAAAAATATTAAAATAGACATGCATTTCTTTTTAWTTCCCAGAGGCTACTCATTCTCATACTTTGTGCGCRCRATTTTTCCCTTTCCTCGCGCTATGATTATGAGTTCACGTTATGAACTGATAAAAAAAGTTTCTTGGCGTCGAAATAATAAGTATGATGTATCGTCCTTTGATTCATTCTAAATATACGGTACAATATAAAGATGTTTGTAATTATCAATCATACTCACGTGGGTTCCTAACAAATCATTCAATAAACACAAGCTCTCTCGTAAGTGTTCATCAGTCACGTGCTCTCTTAGGGCGTGTTCTTTCTCACTTGGTGTGCGATACATGTCTAACTCGAGTAAGATACTKATAAGCATTTGGACGACATAGAACGGTGTGTGTACATGGGCCATRTCGGCYTCTACGTAATCRACTCTAGATAAAATAGAAATACCCATTGTCAAATTATAATAATATTTGGGGCTATCAGATAGTTCGATGCACAAGAATTTGTTTTAAAGCTGACCTGAAATTCTCRTCTTCAGCCATRTCCATGAACTCTTCTATTAATCTAGTTTTTCCGATGCCAGCTTCTCCTTCTATTATTACCATGTGTTGAACGAGTCCTGCTTGTCTCTCGTCTGTTGTGACTGTATGAAGAAGTTTTTTCATTTCTTTGCACTCTTTCTCTCGTCCTAGAAACGCAAGGWAAAAATGAAAAAAATTGCATTGAAAATGTAAGCTCTGCAGTTGACATGCTGCATGCTGGGTACGTTGYGTAATGCCTAAWTCTATTGTGSATTTTAGTGCAAGATCACAGCATATGTGAGCAATAAGAGATTGCGTTTGTAAGGGTTTTTTTTGCAGCACTTAAAGCGTCACAAAAGACAAACTCTTTGCAACAAAGGTGCATGCCACACACACTAGCACTTTTTTAATCCCCAGGACAAAAGGAACCTTGAATTACTAAGAAATACGCCTCGTTTTTTCATTACAGCTCGTTTAAAAATCTATTGCGATGATTCCTACCTAATATAGGGTACTCCGTCTCATCATCTTCAATTTCTCGACTTTTAAAAGAAAAAAACAAAAACAAAACAATGAATAACATTATGAATATCAGGCGTTAACAAAGACAATAAAGTGGTGACTGGACTTACTCGTGGTTTTTGTTGTATTCTCGTACTTCGCCTGGATCAGCGATGCCTTTTAACGGTTTATGAGGCAAAACCARAAAGTCTTCTTTCTTAAGCTTTGACTTAGCTCCCAAGTATGTTTCATTATCACATGAGAGTATACCGGGATAGTTGACCATCAGACGAGCAGCCATATTGACTTTTCTTCCTATGACTGGAAAATGATAAGGATATCAGTCGACGCATCAACCATAATATGCTCAGTGACTTGTATTTTTTAATTTACTATGATTATCACGATGAACAGTCAAAATAATCAAGATCAACATAGTTTGTCGTCGTCATCATCATCATCATCATCATCATCATCATCATCATTATCTGTTACTGTTAAAACTGTTACTGTTACATCATCATTTTTATGATTATTGTCACCATAATCATCATCATTTGTTGGATTTTCAGTTACATTTTTTGTCTTCTTCAGAAAAATATATTGCTGTCATCGCATAATTATTATCTTGTTATCATCCTGATCATATGATGTGAATAGTGAATAGTGTTATGAGCAGCCTGGCTCTTTCTGGAGGGAAGACTTTGGGAAGGAGGGTAGGGGATGGGAAAAGGTCATAAAAAATCCCTCAAATTTCTCATTTTCTGTTCTCCTCGCCCACCGGTCGGAAAGAGCTCGCTAAGMAGGCTAAATGATTGTAATGAGTAAGCAATTAGTAGTTTATAACCTGTATATTCATGTCTGTCACGGTGACCCACCACTCCACAAAATGCTCTTCCCGTCGTTACACCAATAGCTTCGTGTCTATCAATTTAATACAAGTATTAAGATGCAAGATAGATTATGGGCTATATAATTTGACTTGAGACCGCAGGCCTTGTTAGTCAGCGGAGACAATTTGTTATCTATATATACATTACAACAATCTCGTACCCAGAGCCCACACTTTTGCCATCCAGCGGATGTCAATGCGTGAGAGACTCTGGGGGAATGCGTTATTTCTCGATTCGTGATTGGTTGAAAATGACGCGAGCGCGCATTGTTTTCAAATCGGTTTTTCAAGTCGCCAGCGCGCGCTCGTCTGTTTGATCAAAAATATCATACTTTTATCGCATAACCACWCATGTTTTTACACATTTGTGTTTTTTAAAAGGTGTCAATACTGTTCCTAAACTAAGTTGTGTGCTAAACCTTCTTCTTTTTTGTCATTTTGATGCTCTAAAGCGGCAAAAACAACACTGGCCTAATTTGCATAATTTACGACGGAAAAGCGTCGCAAATCCAGTCGATTCCTCCAGAGTCTTTCCGGCGTCAGCATACCGCTGACATTAGCCGTGAAGACTCTGGGCTCGAGATTGACATTACAATAACTATAGTACAAACATTAAAAGTGTGTGCAACACTTTCCACTATTTGCTACAAAATAGTGTTAATTAAACTATGGAAAACAATAGAATTAGCAGTATTTAGTGTTATTCATGTTGCACAGTTTTAGTGTTTGTACTCTATCAGTCCGTAAAAGTCAGTGTTAAACATAAACACTGCACTGGAGTTCTTTTTACTCGCGTACTCCAAGAGTTTTTGACTATGACTGCATTACCCGCCAGTCAGCGGCGGTTATTGTGATACTCACGTGATCTCCCTAATCGTGTGCAGAGTTTCGATGATTCGATGGCCTGCTTTCAAAGCGCGTGCCTGGTCGTCCTCGTGCTTTTCACCTGGTAATCCAAACACTACTAGAAACGTGCAACCCTAAAGGCCAAAATCATAACGCTGTAATCAGTCTTTTGCTATGATGATTAGTAGTGTACTGTGAGCTAATTCCTATACTATAACTATACTGTATTAAGTCGTACAATATATAATAGCAGGTGTACTGTGAGCTAATTCCTATACTATAACTATACTGTATTAAGTCGTATACTATATAATAGCAGGCCTATAACCATGCGCACTATATCGCAGATATAGGGAACCCATAGACAAATATTCAACATCGAAATCGGGTAGTATAAAAAGGACCGCCTGCCGCCTTACCTTGTCAAAAGAAAACACTTTGTTTACATTTCCTGAAAAGTAAAAAAATGAATCATATTGTTAAAAGAACGGTGAAATTACGTTATCATATAAAACTCAATTAGCTGTAACGATTTATCAAAAGAAAAAAAGAATTTGAAGACAATCGAAACGCGCGCATTTTTCACTGGAAGACGTTACAATTTTGCGGTGATGGAAAACAGTGAATGAATAGTGACGAATTGGTTCGGGCTAGCTGAACAGTTTAAGGTACGGAGTGCACATAAATGTAGACGACCCTTGGGGACTGTATGTATGGTCAAGATAAGATCAAATCCTTACCACCAAGGTTTCTGACGTTTTCGTAAATTATCTCGAAGGCYTGCTGCAATGCCCATGCGCTGAGGTCGCCTTTCTTTGGTAAAACCATATTGATGAACAGCACAGAAACTTGTCGCATCTCAGATAGCCATTGTAGGTCTTGATCATGGTCAATCTAGTAACAGTTATATGCATGATATAGATAGCTCACTTACGCTAGTGATTCTGATAGTGTCATTTTAGAGGCGATAGACGTACCTTTGAAAGAACTGGTTTTGATACATAAGCACGCAGATCCTCTATTTCTTGGTCATTCAGCAAGTTGCAAACATCCGTCCGATGACCTGATCACATAGATGCAACTCATGTCTTTATTTATTTATGACTCAGATTGCAATCCAACTTCATCAGTTCACCATCGTATCAACTGCATCATCCGATGACCCGTTATCATAAACATAATCATCATCTTTATTAGAGATATTATTTCCTAACCTGGATCATGATCATTATCGGAGCTAATCTTTTTGGATGTCGCGTTTTCTTTTTTCTTGCTTCTTTTGTAAATTCCGGACAGCTTTATGTTTGGATAGGTCTTTGTGAAATGATTGCCGACATGCGGACCAAAGATCTTCCTACTAACTGGCGGTATTGCAAGCGCTACTCCAGCCGTTGATAGAATGCCAGCCATGGACATAAGAGCTATTTCTGTCTTTATGAGATCGCCATTTCCATCAGATTGGACCGCTTGCTCTCGGATTCCGCTGACCTGAAAATGCATGGTCAACGTCAGTCAAAGATTTGTCAACCAAGTATTTATTTTCTTTTTTCACGAAAAAAAGTCGTACAACTATACCTTAAAATGATACCCGTCTTCCAGTACTTCATGATAAAACAAGGACTGCTCGCAGCTCTCCCAAGCCATTCGATCTAGAATTATCGATCCAGGCGTTGCCCATTTTTCGGCTCCGTTGACGTCTTCCACTGCCTGCCCTGTTAAATCAAATTGTTTAGAGTCTGGAACACCCACGTATGTGACGTTCATTTTTCCTATCGAGAGAGCAATTTTTACTCGTAGAAGAACACCGACGTCTGTCAGGTAGTTATCACATTCTTCTTGGATAGCGAGGCTGCAGATTATTGCTTTGTTAACGAGAAGTGTCAAGTCTGAAGCCGCGTCGTTACATTTCCACATYGCTAATAATGCGTCACCAGCGAATTTAAGCACATCTCCACCATTGACTAAAATATCTGTGTAAAGAAGATGCATTTTAGATTCAGTAAATCAATCTAGGTTGAAAAATGTAGTATGAGGTTTGACTTTTTCCATAATCATCATTATATTTCATTATCATATTGAGAGGTATCAGCTTGAAAGAGTCTTTTTCGTTACAGTACATAGTACAGTTGGTTTTCCACTCATGCAAAATGTACTCTATAATTTATGAACGTTGACCAAATTTTATAGCATCGTCAATTTATCATTTTATAAAGACATGACGACATTCACTGTCAGCTGATTATTTCATTCATCACTATCATTTCATCATGAATATCTCTTAACGTTAATCATTTGATAAAATCATCAACTTCTACTGCAAGTCAATCGAATAGTACTATTCAGATATCAATTACCTTCAACTATTTTTCCAATGTACGTGTTCAATGTAGCAGTAAGTTTTTCTGTACCGCATGACGCATCTGTTCCTCCAAGATTTCCGTACGTCTCGCAAAGTGAAGTGAAACCTGGAAAGTTAATGTTCAAAACGTCTAAATCTACTTATATTTGACTTTTGTTAAAGGTAAATGAATATAACGACATCACATGCAGGTACACGTTCTTTCGTTATAAACGAAATCTTGACAATATGTTCAGTGGATTCAAGTCAAACCAGAGTTTCATACCGACACACTGCGCTGATGGCTTAGTACGCGTGCGCTCTTTTCTGCACGTTTATAGGAATTATAAAAAGATACTACAGCAAGCAAATAGAGTGTAATATTCAGTAGATATTCTTACCCGATATATCAGCAAACATGCAAACACCGCGGACATGCGTGACATTTGGCATGGCGTGACCATGGTCACACGTGATAACCATGTCGGGAACATGAGTAAGAAGTTGGCGTAACGCACTAGCTTCACGTATTTGTTCTAATGATAAATTGATTATATCAATACAAGTCCACTAGTAAAGTAAAAAGGAGAGGAGACTAATTCAATTACATGTATGTGTGTGAAACTAGGTAACGTAAACGATAGTGGCAAAGGTGGAGGCTGTTTTAGAAAAGAATACACTTTTACGAAAAAGCTGTTTTGTTGCACTTGCAATATGGTCTTTATTATAATTTAGACGGATTTCACAGCAAGTCAAAGGGTTTTATAGGCGTTTAATATACTGACTTACTTTGTAACATCTCAGCAGCATCGTCTGACACCATAGCCATGGCCACATTAGGAATACCAGTAAGAACTTGATGCACTGCACGAACATCACGTGGTTCTGAATAATGACCAGAGAATGAATATAACATTGATAAATTACGATAACTTCCGTTTTTACACGTAGACGCTTTGCGAACGGATTCAGACATATATAAGCTTCTTAGCATAGTTTTAAAGAATCAATATTCTTACTGAACTATGTTCTTAGTAAAGAGTCAAAAGGAGGCCTAGGGCCCTGGGGAACAGGGCGGGGTTCATTATCCAAGGCCCTATTTCAAGCGAAGCGCAAGTTTTCAATTTTCTCTTTTGGCTTTTGTTTCTAAAACATTCCTCTCCAAAAGAGCAATTCATTGTTATCGAAACTGTCACATGGAATAACAGAGACAAAACTCGGTAAAATATAAACTACGYATACTGTAATGTGGGAATAAACAAAAAAAATTGCAGTTGAAATTGTTTGCATGAATACTTGATAATATTTCATGGCAAATCATAACAACAACAAAACTTTTAATACATCGTTAAAATATTCGTCGATTTTTATTCTGTGTTTAGTGATTTAAAAGCTTTAACTTGGTAAAGATTGCGGAAAAGTTATCCTTGTTAATCGTTGGACCTTCCGATCCATGCTTGTCCCTTTATCAATAATGAAATCAGACTTTTCAAAATTTGTAAATCAATATTGCAGAAAACCTCTCTCATGGACAATCGTTTGTTCGTGTTCCACAAACCTGCATTTCCGTGCTTGGATTTTATTGTAGCCATTCTATGTTACCTCAGGAACAGAAATCCTCATTTTGAAAAAGGTACCGACGATTAAATGCAGCCGAGAAAGCGTAAAATTAGAGGAATTTCCATTGCTAGTTTTTTTTCTTCTTCTATTTTCTGTACGTTGATGTCACAATCATTCAATGATTACGCGTTCCGTGCGCGCGCGAGTCTTTCAAAACGCAGCCTCGTTTTTGTGACATGGTGCATGACACAGGTAACCCAAAAGGAACGAAGTACCGGAATGTGCTCGGAAAGTGTGGAAATAGAGATTGAAAAAGTTGTCATATTATCCTGGAAATAATAGGGCAACTCTTGAGCTACTCTTGGCACTCGATGCCGATAAAACCCAAAAATACTTAAAGATTTTGAAGGCTCCCGTCCCCAATTATTTTAAAAGTACGAGCCTGCAGTATGTACCGCTGGTCGTCGTCCATTGTGTTTTTACCTGCTGTTCTGCTGAGAATATCGGTTCCAGCTTACTTGTCCTGGAATGGCTTACCGACTGTGTGCACTCATAAGAAGCCAGACAACGTGTTCACCATTGATTAGGCTTACTCTAAAGAATAGCAGAAGTGATTTTCGTCTTGTACGCGCCATGGTAAGAAGATCCAAATATCGAGTTGTTCTTTTAAAAAACTTATTTTGCTTCAGCTGTTGATTCATGTACAAATTTCCAACGCCACATGTACACATTTTGATTATAATATTATATAATATTACAGAAATTTAATTGATTTAGGTAATTTTGAGCATTATTTTCTTGTGGGCTGTTTTAAATCCACTTTTGCTCGTACAAATGTCAAACGATTTGACATGAAGCACAAAAAATCCCTACACACTACTGTAGAAAGTTTGAACGAAACAGTTAAACTGTACTTTAAATGCCAAATTTGACTCAATTGAATGAATTTGTCCCAAACTTTCAGTCAACACGAACAGAGACGGACAGTTTTGGAGAGATTCAAGTGCCCTCTGAAAAATACTATGGCGCACAAACTGCGAGGTCGAAAATGAACTTTCCTATTGGAGATGAGAGTGAACGCATGCCAGTAAGTAAAATCAAATAAATGATATTACTATGTATTGCTATTAAATGATCGCAGATCAAAAGCTGCAGCCCCTTGTGTAGAGAAGTGAGAAATTAGGCTTTGATCACAGTATCATTGATGTTGTTACATGTTAAGTTATATAAAGTTATTCTTTTTGATAGCCTCCTATTATTCGTGCATTTGGATACTTGAAGAAGGCTGCAGCTGAAGTAAACAAGGAGTTTGGCTTGGATAACAGTGTTGCAGATAATATTATGAAAGCTGCTGATGAGGTAAAGTGATTGGCTGGTGTTTTTAAGCGTAGTCTGTGCATATTACCTATTATACACACAAATTATGGATGCATCTTAGAAAACAATGAATTGATTCTCAGAGGTCAGTAACATGTAAGCTGATAGTCATGTCCACAGTCCCTGTGCCATCTTGAAAGTTAACAATGCCACTGCATAGATTAGTGAATGGTCTTAAAGCAGACATAAGGGAGTGAGGAGGACTATTATTTGTTACCTTGACATCCTGCATGGAAGTACTTCTATGCAGAATGTTGAAATTACTTTCACGCAATATCTGGAAACATCAGGTAACTACACCAAGTATTCCTCCTGCATCTCTATTTATCATTGCTTTTCTCTTTATACAGGTCATCAGTGGTCAACTAATGGATCACTTTCCACTAGTTGTCTGGCAAACAGGATCAGGAACTCAGTCCAACATGAATGTCAATGAAGTAATAAGTAATCGTGCCATTGAGATGATGGGTGGTACAATGGGATCCAAGAAACCTGTACATCCTAACGACCATGTCAACAAGAGCCAGGTATTTAAAAATGATTTGTATTTAAAACATCGTTTAAATAGATTGTTTCAGTGCAAGTCTTTTTTCTTCTTCTTCTTTTCTACTTTGAATAACATCTTTTTTTCTAGTTCATCAATTTATTTCAGGAATCAAATGTACTTGATTAAATTTATAAACATTATTTTCAGAGCTCAAATGATACATTCCCTACTGCCATGCATGTTGCCTGTGCACTTGAAGTGAACAATGTGCTTCTGCCAGGCCTGAAGAAACTGCATGGTGCTATCAAAGACAAGGCTGAAGAGTTTAAAGATATCATCAAGATAGGCCGAACACACACACAAGTATGTCCACTGTTAATCCTGTTGTTCTGTTTAGAAATAAAAAAGATATTTTCTGCTTAGCAATTATAATATTCATTGTTTCTTTGTAGGATGCAACACCACTGACACTTGGCCAGGAGTTTGGAGCATATGCAAGACAGGTTGAGAATGGCATTGCTCGTGTTGAAGCCACAATGCCAAGGGTGTATGAGCTAGCCATCGGAGGGACAGCTGTAGGAACAGGTCTTAACACTAGGATTGGATTTGCTGAAAAAGTATCTGCCAGGATAGCAGAATATACCAATTTACCATTCACAAGGTAGACAAAGTTAATTATTTGACTTTCCCAAAAATGAAGTCCTGCACTTTTGTTACTAACAGTTTGTATGGCATAAAGAATGAATTACTAAAACTACAATAGTTTGAAATAGAGTATATTAGTAAAAAGTAAGTGTTTAATTGATTGATCTTTAGCAATTCCAACAAGTTTGAGGGTCTGGCTGCACATGATGCCATGGTAGAACTCCATGGAGCTCTCAATGTAATAGCTTGTAGTCTCATGAAGATTGCAAATGATATAAGGTTCTTGGGGTCAGGACCACGATGTGGGCTTGGAGAGTTGCAGCTGCCAGAGAATGAGCCAGGAAGTAGTATCATGCCAGGTAATAAAAAATGGTTCCAGGAAACCTTTGTGTTAATGTTCACATCAAAAGATAAGATATTCTTGTATGTACCACCAGGTAAAGTTAACCCAACACAGTGTGAAGCCATCACCATGGTTGCAGCTCAAGTTATGGGCAACCAGACAGCTGTCACAGTAGGAGGAAGCAATGGCCATTTTKAATTAAACGTCTTCAAGCCTATGATGGTCAGAAATGTACTTCAGTCCATACGACTAATTGGTGATGCATCTGTTGCTTTCACTGACAACTGTGTGGTTGGCATTAAAGCAGACCGCAAGAGAATAGATTCACTTCTCAGAGAAAGTCTAATGTTGGTAACGGCTTTGAACCCACATGTTGGATATGATAATGCAGCTAAGATTGCAAAGAAAGCACACAAAGAGGGAACAAACCTCAAGAAAGCAGCCATCAGTCTTGGAATCCTTACAAGTGAGCAGTTTGACCAATGGGTTAGACCTGAAGATATGTTGGGGCCAAAGTGAAGGGGTATTAGGACTGGAAATGTGATCTGATGGAATGGCTGGCAATATAAACTTTATGGAACATTAAAAGTGTTCATTTAATAATACTATAGTACTATTTAACTGTTTTAAGACTGAGCGTTAAAATATTGACCTGCTATGTGGAGAAATCTATTTTACAGAATAAAGAATAAATTACATATTGAATGGTCCAAACTCATTTTATTCAAGAACTTTATTTTAATATTTTATAACGAAATAGTACTTTTGAGTATGTGGCTTGGCAATAATTCCCAGCATCAAAGTAAGGAACTTGAAATACTACCCAGTTGTCTAGTTTTAGTCAATTCTCTCATAAACCTGTCAGTAACTGCTATCTTTGACAAGAGGAAGGTGGAGATGGTTTCTTATGAAAGTGATTGTTTGACTGTAGAAGTAAGCTCCCAATAATGAATTGTTAGTGGAAACCTATTCGTCCATCTTAGGGCTTATGATCCTGTTCGTCATCTTCGTTATCACTCACAATGGCATACAGTACTTTGATGCACAGAGTACATATTGAACAACAAACAATATTTTGGCCTTTTTCCAAGTCTTGCTCTGTGATGACATATTGTCCACTGCATCTGCATTTCCATGTAAAACTGCATGTTTCTGTTAAAGAAAAAACTGTTATTTCATTATTGAGCAAACAATGGGATATCTATTTATTAAACAAGGCATTACATAGTGAAGTAAGTGTAAATGAAGCAAGAAGACAATTATAGAGACAGGTATATAGAAAATGAAAACCTGTTCTGGTTACTTCATTTCTGTCATAAATGACAAGCTCTCAGAGGCAGATCCAGAATGTTTTGTCATTAAGAAATACACAACATAATACACTTATAAATTTTATATCCTATACGTCTCACACACCTAACTTCAAAATATCATCACATCCCCCAGCCTTAGTCTCTCCTCACCCCCTATTAACCTTATGATTATGGTAGAATAGAAGACAGATCAGGGGGTGGTTTTAAAATTTAGACTTACCTTCATTTTGTTCCATATCATCAAGATCCACTTCTGCATTCACAGGCCATTCTTGAAGAAGAGTTTCCTCTAAAGTGTTGAACAGAATCACAAAATAATTATTTAAATCAACTAATATTTTTACACAAAATTGCTTCAGTAAATACCTCTCAAGCCTTTGTCATATTGTTTACGTTTTTCCTCATCTCCCAGAATTTTCCATGCTTTGTTTATCATATGATAATGATGAAGATTTGCCTCTTTTTCTGAAGCTGAGAGCTTTTTATCTGCTTTGTCTGGGTGAACCTACACGATGTAATAAAAACATTTGAGTATTGAAAGCTTACGATTCGTGAACGCGGGAGGACGTATGAAATTCAGTGTGATATTTGTGTAAGATTTTACAGTTGTACCTTCAAAACATGTTGTTGATAAGCCTTTTTTACTTCTTCTTGAGTTGCTTGCGATGAAACTCCTAATTCATCATAAAAGTTGACAACTGAATTGCTCATCTAAATATCAGACCAGTTTTATTCAATTGCTTTCATCATTCATCATGCAGTTATTCGTACAATATGCTTTCAAATACAAATTCAGATACAAACTAAGATCGCAGTAAATCCGCCATCTTGAAAATAAGCGGTCAAAGAACCTGGGTTCTACAAAAATTAAAAAACTACCTCTGATTGGTTGTTGTTATCAATTAACCAATCATAAGCATTGTTAGATTGCATCCTTGGTTGACTAATCAGCTCTCGTGGAACGCCTTGTTTCTCTTGCATTTTTACCAACAGGCAGGTCAGAGCAAAGTCCACAATCAGTCCAAAACATGGCTTTGAGAACTGTCGGACAACGTTTTATCAATGGACTGACACAGTGTACAACACAAATATGCTTCCAAGAGGCTAAAAGTCTTCGCCAAACCGTAAGTTAAGAGGAATTTGAATCTAAACTTTCGTCGAGAAATGCGATTGATTTGCACTCTGAACTTTCATGATATTTCCAGTTCCTTGTGATCTCATAATATAACATTTTGTTTTATTATTCTTCATATTTCTTTTCTTTAGGTCGTGGCACGTCATATCTTTGGTTCTAGGACAGGGTTTAGAGCGGAAAGCTTCTCTTCTCAAGCTCAAACTGTTGTAAGTAGAACTGTCTGACAATAAGCTTATCTGCACGAGGGCATCACGCGTTGCTATGTTTTGTCGAGGTTGTTGGCGTGAGATCTTTATTTATTAATTGAGGAATTCTATATCTGGTCATTACGGATTTTTCTTAGCGTTTTTCTACATTCTTTTTAGAAAGCACTTGTTTGTAAGCAAGGCTTTGGTTCCCAAGAATGCATGCTTACTCAACATTATTGTAAAAAAATAGAATTGCAAGAATGAAAATTGACAAATTGATAACTTGCTTTTGCCAAACAAAGCAAATCACAAATTGACAGTACTGTTGATGATTGTGTAAGTTTATGGGCATCAAAGAAAAGCTTTGAGTTTACGGGAGGGGTTTTAGATGTGAAAATTGTCAATTTTTTTTTATTTTATGATTGACAGGGTAACAATGACCTTAATGACAGCAGTCTATATTCTCTTGTCAATGTCAAAGTTAAAGGGAATGATGAAGCAGTACTCAAAAGCTACACACACTTTGTAACCAGGGCAGCCAATATCCTTAATATAGATATATCTAAAAGGTAAGTAAATGTGCATATCAGTCTGGCAAAGCAATAGGCCCTTTGCATGATAGCTTCATTTTAGTAATACTCAAGTACTAGTAAGATTACTCTCCATATTTTCTTTGTTGTTCAGAATTTTTATCTTAGTAGATTAATAAAACATTTGTGGTTAATAATTGTATGATAAAGGAAAGTGGGCAAAGTATTTCTGGTTGTTGAAGTTAGATGACACTATTGTGCAAGTGGCTTGTCGCCCTATAAACAACACTGGTGTTTGTATTAAATTATGATTAGAAGTAATATTTAAAGTATATGATACACTTATATTAAGTTCATTTGGATCTTATAATAATGTATGTGGAAATAATGTGCACATTGTATGTAGAAAATAGTAACACAAAAACCAAAATAATATCATGTGTGCTTAAAAAAAGACAATTTTTTAAATCCAGTTTTGATTTCTAGAATCCTTTTACCAACACGAAAGGAGAGATACACCCTTCTAAAATCTCCTCATATTTACAAGAAACACAGAGCACAATACGAAATACGAACACATGCAAGATTACTGCAGGTAAGCAGTTAAATACAACTCGACTATGTAAACATAAAGCTTACATGTAAAAATAATAGTAATATTTTCCAATAACCTTTAAAATGTAAGTAACAAAATTAATACTAAAACAATTAACCAGCAATTTATCTCATTAATTTTTTAACAGTTGAAGAATTTAACATCTGATACATCCGATGTGTTCCTGGAATACATTCAGCGTAATTTACCAGAAGGAGTAAGCATGAGTGTAGAGCACACAGCATTAGAAGGCATGCCAGATTACTTACAACCACCACTGGAAGCGCTAGAGTTTTTGAAAAGACAAGCTAATGAAGGCAACCAACTGACAGAGACAAGCTAGCAATGGAGAAAAGATTGTATTTGTAAATTATTTTAAACATGGAATGTTAATAAAAATATCATTGATCTGGATAGTGTAGGATATAAAGATTGATTTTAAATACATGTCAGAACTTCAAAATTAAAAATAATGTACCATGAACATTATTATGAAGTACTAAAGTAACAACAAAATAACACCACACACATTTTAGTACAAATATTTATTTTAATAAATGATAATCTACTACTGGTACTCTTCTAATATTTTTTAACAACTGACTCTTATTAGAATCAATGACATACTCTTGCTCAAATTTTTACCATTTGATACCCCTTATACAGTGGTGGCTTGTTAAATGAACCACAAGTTGTAAGGCATTTAACTGGTCTTGAAATTTGAGAGTTAAACTCACTAAGACACAAACTCTGATTATTATAATGGAGTGGCTGTATTAAGTGAGTGGCCTCAAGTCAGGGTTCCACGACAATACTTAGTTCTATTGCAGCATGAACTTTATAAAAATAAAAAAATTCTAAAATCTCAGTATTGATTACAAGACTAACAGGTTTCTAGGATTGACCCTAACTTAAACCTGAACTTTCTATTTATCTATTAATCAGTCCTACAAAACATTAGAGTGAAGGCATTGATCCTGTGAAATAAAAGTTAATAATTAAACTGTAATAGTCAAATAGACACAAAAGAAAACAATGGAATTATCGAGTAATAACATKTAATAGTCAAATATGTATTTCACGGGTTCATTGACTTCACTCTAAATGTGTGCAACACTTTCCACTATTTACTACAAAATAGTGTTAATTAAACAATAGAAAACAATAGAATTAGCAGTATTTAGTGGTATTTATGTTGCACAGTTTTAGTGTTTGTACTCTATTAAATATATGTAATAATAATTAAGTATTTAAATAAAATAAAAAAATAAAAAAAAAAAACTGGAAAAATGCCACAAGAAAGTGAGCTGTCAAATGTTAATTGTGATATTCATTGAATGGTTTTCTTATATAGTCTTGTCTTCTAGTTTCAACCAGTATCCGATTATTGTTGATACTCTCTGAAAGAAAGAAAAAWATTTGTTTTTAAAGACATTAGAAACAGACAACAAATCAAACTTTATTTGAAAAAAAAGGGTTAACAATTTGATCTACAGTACAATGACCTTTTTTATAGCCATGTAAACAATAATATAGATGCTGTAATCAAACTATATTATAATGCAATCTGTTATAAAAACTTATCCTTTTCTGCTGGCATCTAAATTTTCTAGTTTATATATATTTTGGGTTTCCTGTGGAAAAGATAGGGAAGAGAGGAGACTGGGTGAGGGAAAAGTCCAACTCTCTACAGATCTAACACAGGAAGCCTGCTGTTGTTTTAGAAAGAATAGAGACATCTGCGTAGGAGGCTAATACAAGTTGATACACATACCTGCCTGGCCTGTATTAATGCAGGCGTGTCAGTGTATCTACTGGAGCCCATATTTTGACAATGAGATGTTCCAGGAATAAATATTGCAATTTGTGATGAAGTCACATTGTGYAAAATACTGAGACTGTGCCAAGGATCAATGGATCCTGAAAGAGGAATATATAATATCATATTCAAAATAGACAAAAGACTGCAGTCTGTATAACCTTCTAGAGTTTTCTCTTTGACAAATTCCCCCGCCAATAAATAAATCACAAATCAAATTATAGTAATCCTTTTAAGTATATTTTATAAGCATAATAACTTACCATTGACAAATATGATTCTAGATCCTCTAGGYTTGTCACTTCCATAGTATGAGTTTGTAAAGTTCACTCTTTTCTGTACTATCTTTTTGCTCAAATCAAATACTTTTTCGCAAACAAGTAGCTCTGCTGCCAAGACGAGGCGAYTGGAGAACAAGCATTGGGTGTTTTTATCACATGTCTGGACTAAAATAAACAGAATTTTAAAAAAATCAAATTAGATTTTACTATTTATATTTGTACTCCTTCTTGCAAATGTGTATTCAGTTCATAATTACATTAAGAGTTTCATAATCAAAAAAGGTTACATATCAAAAAAAGAATTTCTGAAAAAAAAGACATTAATTTTCAGAGTGCAGTTGGCGCTGAAATACCTGTTGTTAATCTAAAAACAACTGAAACAAGTTTTGATACTCACAGTATCCAAATTGAGAACAGGTCTGGTAAAACCATTGTCTAGCATTCTTAAATCCTTTTGGATCAAGGGTTGTATCTTCTAATTCATTTATAAAGTCAGTGAAACTGTTGTCAAGGCAAGGAATCYGCATACGACTGATGTAATCCTGACAGAAAAGTATTCATTCTCAG